TTCCCGAAATTCACTCGTTCCGAAGCCGGGTAATTCGGTCCGGCCCGGCCCACCGGCGAACGGAACACAACGATGAAGCAACTAATCAACTATTTCGCGTGGCTCGGATACGCTCCGGCGAAACTAGCCGACGATTTATTTTGGTCCCGGCTCGGCAGCGGTCGCCGTCATAACGTGATTAACCACTTGCCGGTATTCGTTCTTCGGGACGGTTTTCAACAATCGTCCCGACAAATCGGCCGAACCGACGCGTCGCTTTCTTGCGCGGTTCGAACGTCGCGATTTCTGGGTCACTCTCGGTTTTCAACGATCGCGCGGATCGGTAGATATTCCGGTTGGACCGATCGTTCGCGGACGGGCATTTCCTCGAATCTCTTTCCACGACGGATTTATCAACGCGTCGAAATCTGAAATATCGGAGAAACAGAGAACCGCGTACCAATCATTCGTTACGCGAATAATTCAATTATCCGTCCGTAGTTATCGATTTTAGATACGGCGACGTTCGACCGAGAAAGGTTCCAGCGAATTACTCGTTTAATTGTTTCGAATTTCAGTCCATTGCGATTTACGAACGTTTACACTTTATTCTCTTGGTTCTACCGCGTAGAACTACGCGTTCGTTTATACAGATCGGGAAAATTGTAATACCAGTGCATAGTTGTTCCGTAAATCTAGCGTGAAAACGACTAGTAGAGTCGACTGCGCGAGGAAAGTTCGTTTCCCCGGGAAACCGCGTTTCCGAACGAAAAATCTAGTGGCCCGGCTACGGAATTCCGTCGGCACGGCAACGCCACGTCTCCCCGTTTCGTCGGCGACCTTCTGGGCCGAGCGGCGTCCGCGAGGAACGGTATCGGGCGTAAGATCGGCGCGCGCGGCGAAAAATAGCGCATTTAATTATAGGTCAAACGCGAGATTCCGCGGAGCAGCTGTTTAAATAGCGATCCGCTCGCTCGTCCCGAAGGCGATACTCTCGCGAGCTCTCGGAGCCGGTTCCGCTGATCGCGATCGACTCGAGAAACTCGCTTCGACGCCGGCGCGTTTTTCCTTTTTCTCCTGGTCTTTATCGCGCGGAACGAATTTGTTTACCGGCAACAGGCCACCGATGGACTCCGCTACGCTCCAACCGGATTTCTTCTCGGTCGGTTGTCGCTGGTGACCCACGCTTTTGTACCACCAGGTAGCCTCTTAAACCAGCCGGCTAGATTTCTTAAACCTCCGACTCGTGGCCACGACGAATAGAGGTTGTACCAGAAAATTCGGACAATTCTAACGAACGAGTCGTAAAGCGAAGGATTGCTGCAACAATAGAGCCGATTGTTCGTCGAGTCTGTCGTTGCTTTCGTCCTTCGAGCGGTCTACGCGCACTCTCGACGACTGCTCTCTATTGTTTTCGATTCAATCCCAACTAACGCGCGAATGATTGCTCACCCTGAGCTTAACCGGGAAAGAACGTACAAGCGAGACTATCTTGCTATTCTCGACGCGCTACCTTCGAAGTTAACGCGCGCTTGCAACGGACGAATCGTCCGTTCGCGTTTCTCGCGAATCATCGACCCTGGAACTGGTCGAGGTCGGCGGCGGGGGACATCGTACGGCGACGAGTTCATGAAACCGAGACGAGAGAGCGCGGAAAATCTGAGTCGGTGTCGAAATCCGGACAGGCCCGCAACGTCCGAGGCACCACCTGAAGGGAATCTCGGTGCTTCCCTCGCAGTCGCCGGCTTCGTCCGGCTATCGGGCACGGCATCGTAACCCGCCGGACAATGAAAACAATGTGCTCGGCTGAGTAATCCTCCTCCTTCGGGCAGCCCTCGCGGAGACGTTTAATTGTGAGGCGGCCACGTGGGCGAGACGGAGAAGGGAACACGGGCATCCAGGTGCACAGAGAAGGACGACTTCTCGTTGTCCGACGGAGACGCTGTTAGTCATACGCATACCTGCCTACTTAGGGAATTCAACGGCCAACTATGGCAAGTACCCGCGATATCCGAACCGATAATATTCGGCTCGGTCGCAACGACGCGACGTTCTCGTGCTGTCGACGAGCTGAACCACCGGTGATCTTGGCCAGATCTGTCATTTTTATGTTCTCCTGCGATTTATATATAGTTTACCGTTACCACGATAACATTGTAATCGTATATTATTGCGCTCCGAGCAATCGTCGATACGGCCTTCCAGCAATCCGAATCGTTTTCGCCGAGACCAGTCACTGTACACCGCAACCGGTACGCCGGCGATTAAAAACAATTGTTGAATAAGAGTTCCCTTTATCTCGCGATTACTCATTTCTTGGCTTTCTTCGGCGCGTATCTCGAGGATACGTCACCGAATCACGTGGACGGCCGCCCAGTGCCCGATGCCTTCGATCGCCGTGTGTTTAGGTCGGCGAGAGTGTTCTTTAGTGAAATCACCCGTCGATTTGTGGATATCGCGCGCTGATAATCTGACTAATAGGAAATATTGCCCGACGAATCATTGGTGAGCGTGTCGCGTCGTTGCACCGGCGTTTTCATCAAAAAATAGTGATGCTTCCGAAGATTTCAAAGTCATCGCTGGTTTCTTCGGTTCAATTATAGACTCTTACGCTATAAATAACGCGGACCGAGGCGTATCGGACCGAATCGGATCGTTCTGTTCGTTCAGATCGAACATTTACAGACACTTGACCGTTGATGATCGAAAATGGAGAAGAATGTTATACTCGTTTCTTCAGAAATAAGAAAGAAGAACATGAGAAGCATCATTTGCGACGGAAGAAACGCGGGTTTCTTCTTTGAATCCGAAATTCACCTCGACCGACACTGTTCATCGCGAGACGCGTCCAGGCGGATCCGAGCGATTTATAAATACCTCGCGTAAAAAATACGTTATGAGGTAACAATATTGCGGCTGGACGCGACCGCCGAGCGATTATTTCGGGTTTCCAAGTTCCATCGGAGACGGACTCCGCCGTTGGAAAGAAACTCCCTCGGCAACCGACGTCCCCGAGAAACGATAATTATTTCAACGACGCTCCGCTCCTTACGACGGAAATAAAAATCGATCGATCCCTCGAGCCCCGCGCACCTGATAATCGCGCACCGAGTCCCCGGATCGCATTCGCGGCTAATTATTTTTATCCACGCCGACGAGTTTATTAATTGAGCCACGAGAGCGACGCGTGTTTGGCCGGCGCTCTTGTTTCGTCATCCGCCGCTATCGTTTTAAATAAATTATTCCGCGGCGTAGAGACCGTCGCAAAAGTATCCGCTCCATCCGAGCACGCGGCTCCTGTACCCGATATCGCTAAGTATGTAGCGTTGAGATTCGGTGCAACGAGCATTCGGTTCGAAGGAATTCGCTCGCGATCGTGCGCGTTCCTTGTTTCTTGAGCAATCAATTTTATGAAAGTTCATTTATTTTATACGCAGCGAATTGTTTCAGCCCGGCGACTCGAATTTTACGAAAGTTGGACTCGCCGAGCTCGAACCATTCGCTCGTCGCGAACAACCGACGAAGAGGGCGACGCAGCTGAGACTGGCCGATGTCGCGCGGATCCTCTGAAACGGAAGATTATTTTACGGAAATTCACTAACTGGAAACGCGAAACGCGTTACGCGAGTTCGAAGAAAATCCGCGAGTATGCGGCGAATTCGGTGCGACGTTTTCTGTCACCGAAGAATCCGCGCCGCTTCGGAACGCGAGGCTGCACAATTCCGCCATCACGAGGACTGTTCGCGACACGGTCGACAATCCGTCTGGTAACCGGAGCCGCGGATTATCCGTTTACACATTTCCGCGTGCAATTAACAATTCCGTGTATCGTAAACGGATACTTGAAAATTCGTTTAAACGTTTACGGTCCGCGCTCAAACGTTTCCCGCGTGCATTTGTTCGAACCGACATTTTTCTCGAAATGCTTTACGCTCCGCCATGTTCGGAGCGTTTCCGACTGCCAAAGCGACCAACTTCGATTCGTGGATTTTTTCCACGTTCGGCGGCGAAGCGTTTAATCGATGTTTCAAATTCAACTGCGCGATAACGATTATATTGTCGATAATAACGATTTATTGAATATGTTGTGATATTTATTCGCGAATATATTCGGGGAAACGTTGAAAACCAAAGTGTGCGATGTCATTAATTATCTCCATTGTTTTCCCTCGGTAGAGCGTTCACTGTGGAAGTAAATATTTTATTTGGGAAATGATTAGAGGACCACGTGGCGCGTTCGATGAAGCAATCAAACGGTTCTAACGAGTGGCACCGTTACGATCCGCGAACGATCACCGAATTGAAATCGAGAGCTGTTTTCGAGAGAGATTAGGACCAACCGAGAACTCTACACGGCACTGAACGTAGCAAATTGCCCTTGAAACTGAAACATCACGTAGCCGGAAGATCTAGGTTAGGTCTGGATCATTGTTCGTCGACCGTGAAGCCAAAGAGGTTAGGCATCGAGACACTGTCGATACAACGGCACAAAGAAATGCTGCCAAAACCGTTTTCAAAAACCAATCGTTCTTCCGTGAAAATGTCCCCAGAAGATATTCGACTTACTTCGCGTCCAATTATCCGTGGAGTACAGTGATTTCCGTTCGATTTCTCAACAACACGATAAACCGAAGAGATAAACGTTTTATCGTGGCGAGAGCGTTTTGCGGTCAAAGCGAGGCAGGTTGAGAACCACTGGCCGGCGTATAAATCAGTTGGAACACACATACATTACAGTTACGCGCAAGTTGAAATAATTTAGCTGAAAGATCGGCGGGGCGCGCACTCCGTTCCGTTAGCCGATTCGCAGGTTCCATTACCGATATTTTCGCGAAAAGTGGCGCGTAAAGTGGCAGAAAAAAACATGGCGGACCACGACGAGACAGCGGAGCGGAAAACAGGATCCAGATATGAGTAGTGGGTTAGGAGCATTGTCCACCTGTCCACCTTCGTTGCTGCAGTCGGCCGCGGGGCACCTGCGTGACGTCACACGAGGAAACAGCTGGTCGCTCCTTTCTTACCTGCGTCTCGGAGTCCGCTGCTCTGCAACCTTTCTCCGTCTCCCTTTCTCGTCGGCGAGCTCGCTCGCCCCTTCCGCGGCAGGCACGCTCGTTCTCCTCGTTCCATTAATCGGTTCTCGCTCGCGCCTTGTTTACTTTTTCTCTCTCTGCCCCGTCGGTCCCTCGGTTGCTCGGTCCTCCGGCGTTCGCTTCTCGATTGCGCGAGTCGCGTCACGTTTCCATTCCTCGACGAACTTGGTACGCCTCTTTCTCTTCTCTCTCTCGGCATTTCTAACTGGCCCGTCTCTATCTCCGTTCCCTCTATCCCGCTTCGCCCTCTCGCTCCCGCAGCCTCGTTCCTCTGCTTCCCTTCGCGTCTCTGTTCCGCCGGTTGGCGCGCGTCTCCCTCTCTCCGCCTGCTCGCTCGCGAACTCCACCCGGTTCAGTTTTCATTCTTCTCGTCTCAACCGGATCCCTGGGCACCCTTAACCTCTACGTCTGTCACAGATAAACGAATCGCGCGCGATTAATTTTTAACCGCGCAAAACGCGCTCGTCTCTCGATGCGGCGCGCTATCGATACCTCGATCGACGCTCGTAAATGACGCGCGACGCGGATAGCCAGTCCTCGCCTGGCCTAGGGCATGCCGTGATCGGTGATTGGTCGTCGCTGCCATTACGGCTAACCTGAAAATAATTGAGCCGAGAATTCGGACGCGACACGCCGCAGAATTCGAGTACCACGGTCGAGCATTCTTGGTTGAAAACTTATTAGGTAGTCTTCGAAGGCTTCTTCGAGACCCTTCGGAACGGTGCGCCTCCTTGCTGGCCTTGAAACCATCGACAGACCAATCGATAGACTCAACAGAAGGAGCTCGTAAATCCACGTTTATTATCGGCACCGAGAAGCTGGATGAATTTTTCGGCCCGCCAAGAATTCGGTGAAGCCACGTTTCCCCGAAGAGCCGCGACGCGGAAAGAAAAGCGAAGACGACCGGCCGTGAGTCTATGCGCTTCCGAGAAGCGCTTATTTAAAATCGTTTTCTCCCTGGGATCGAGGTTAGGCCGCGTTCTAAAGCGCCACGTTTCCCCCTTTTATTACGTCGCCACGGAGTCCTACGAATCGGTCGAATCCTCGACGCCGGATTATTCCCACGGGATGCTTGGCGTACGCGTCAAGTTGCGATATATTAACTGTCACAATGTTTTCCAAGATTTACGGGTTAATTGTTGTTACGAGCGCGACTCGTTATCGGGGCATTTCAAGGAATCGATAAGCGGACGGGTAATCCGCGCGAATCGGGTTCCCGGTATCCGGGAACCCTTTAAAACGTATTCCCGATATTTCCAGTTTATTAACGATCCATAGCGCGTCTATGCATGCTCGTCCCGCGATTGAATATTTTCCTGGAACCACAAGTGAAAATAAAGAACTGGAATGTTCCATCGAAGCGTCGCTCCGCTCCGCGTTAAACTATTCTAACGAATCCCTGGCGCTGTATCCGTTCCGCGGCTGACAGTTTATTTATCTTTACGCGTTATTGCGCCTCGACAAAAGAAAGTCCGAGAAAAGAATTGGTCGGGGCCGAGTAAAAACCGCGGGGCAGCTCTGGTTATCTCGAAAATGTGCCACACGTTATTCGCCGCGTCCGTCTTTGTCCGACCGACGTGTGTCACCGTGCCTGGTCGATGTTCCTCTCTTTCCACGGGGTTCCCTTTGCGCTGGATGAAGCGAAATAGAGGAGCGGAGCGGGAGAGGGTGCCCGGCATCTTCGTTCTCGTTTCCACTCGGTCGGAACTCGTCCCTCCTTCTCCGACCGTTCGACCCGTAACACCTCCTTCTCCGTTCGGCCGGCTCTGTCTCCGTTCATCGTGCACGCGCGCCCGAGGTTTCTCCTCCCGGCGAATAATGAGTGCGACTGCACACGCACAGGGTGTCCCGAAAATTGCTCCCGTCCGTCGGATGTTTCCAGCTGCGATCCCGAGACTGTCCCCGGGTTTACGACGGGAAAGATTTCAGGCGTCCGGGTTGTCCGTGACTCGGCCGGCTAATCGATCGACGTTGACGTATACCTAAGTGCGCGATAGTTTCTGGACGATACGTATGCTTATGTGCGAGCCCGAGTGCCGCCATTGGGGCGTTCGACTGGCGAGCCTCGATGGAAACCACGCTGTCGCGGGATTCGAACACACAGAAATAACCGAGGACGTGTTGCACTCGGAAATTCCGGCGGCTTGTATTTTTATAAATTTCCATTTGTTTTTCCGTACGATACGTTCGACGGCGTAAATATACTCGAGCGTCTAAAATTACTCCGCTCGTTTCGAGTCGTCGGAGAAAAATTGCTTTCGAGCCGAGAGGAGCCGCGATAACGCGTTACGGGATAACCTAATTCCGAGGGCACCGCGGAAGGAATGAATTTCGTGCGGCGACGGAAATAAACGTGGAACGGGTGCTTCGAAAGGGTTCGAAAGCAATTGCAACGCTATCTTTGGAGCACCCTATTTTTCGGACGCCTGTTGTGCATCCCGGCGGAAGGTAATACGGAGCGGCGCGCGTGCACGTTTACACACTCATACACGTGTCTCTCCTTTCGCATCGGGGCTCTCGCAGTCGGCCGGCGTCGTCGTAGTCGTCGTAGTCGTCGCAACGTCCTGCTCTCGCCGTCACGGGGGCCGCGGGGAGCGCCTCGTTCTCCTCGGGCTCGAGCCACCTTCAAACTACAGTTAATTCTCCCGATGGACGCGTGGCGCTGTCGAACCGTGTGTGCACGTAAACGCGACCATACGTGACGATTCTTCTTCGATAAGAGCGTTGTTGTCTCTAAGTGATTTTCAATGCACGACGATACAGCGGCGCTCAACCGCGTTCCACGCGCGGCGACCGACGCGACGTCTGCGCCAATGAATCAGGTTATGACTCAGGAATCCTTTGGAAATCGCGCGATTCGAACTTGTTGTTCTATTCTCGCGCACGGCCGCTCGCGAACGACGGCCAACAGAAATATCACTGACAAAGCAGAAAACCGTACTACAGCGGTACGAATTCGACGCCGAAAGTACTCGCCAGCGACGACGAATAAGAAGAGCGCCGATAACGAATTACAAAGGGAAATGTTTGCCGGGCGTCCATGTTTATTTTCCGCTCGCGCTTCATATTTATATCGTTCGGTTGACGATCCAGTTTACACTGCGACACTAGCGTCGATTTGTTGGTATCTTTCCCGAGTCGAAAATCACTCGAAGAACCGGTTCACCTCTGCGACTCGAGAAAGTAATTACTTTAACGAACTCTCAGGGCGAATATGCGCGTATATTTCTTCATTAGACGCGTTAGGCTTATTCTACCGGAGATTACGCGCGGGGATAATCAGTTTCTTCGCGTTTATTCCGATACGTTCGAATATACGTGTCACCGGTGACGCGCGAAGCCCCTGGCGGAGAAAATCAAATTCCGTCTAATTCGCATGCATATACATGAACGCTCGCGACTGAATCTGCATAAACGTCCGCGTTCTGGGTATCAGCGTCCAGATAAGAAGCGTTTTCGAGCGAACGTAAACACGCTCGGAGATAAATAAAATCAAAGGAGTGACGATTAAATTGGCTCGCGTCTAACGACGCTCCCCGGCCGGGCAGCTTTCGTCCCCGTGTCCCGTTCGTCGCGTGGCGAGCAACGTTTGCCAAACAATCCCCGCGAAATAGTTAAACAATACGCTTTAAGTGCGCGTTTACACTGCAATACGCGGACGGACTGCGATAAGCGGAGTTGCACTTCGTACCGAGAGCACGCGGAACGGGACGGGTCTCTGCTCGGAATACCGAAGACTGTTTATCCGAACGAATCATTTCATCTCAACTAATTCACGATATTTCCTATTTTTCTATCGGCGAGCGATAGAAATGGGATTAGATTAAATTGATTCTCGTTTCATTCGTTTATTCGTTTAAATCCTATTTGTTACCGTATCGCTTCTATTCGGAAGCAATAATTCTCTAATGTGTTTCTCCTAATTTTAAAGCGATTACACAAATGTACATGTTTCGCAATTTTCGTTATCTTTTCACACTATTAATAACTACGCGCAAATAGACATTGCACTTGAAGTGCACGTCGCAGCACTCCCATTAGCAAGTGAAATATTTTCAAAGAAATGAGCAATTTTTGTATATTACACCGCTCGCAGTGTTGTCGACGAACAGTCCGCTATTGTTCGCAGTGCGTCGCGATCGCCTTAATTCCCGGGATCCGTTTCGACGTTAACTCCGCGGATATCTCTCGTGCTCTTTGTTCTACTGATTTTACAACGATTTATGTACGCTCGCTGACATCTCGACAATCGGGGATTCAAAAATAGACGATCAGACCACGTATCCGCGTAATTGCGTCGGTCGCGATCGACGCGAACGTTTAGCGAGTAACGTTAACGATAATGTTAGCTTCCGTGGAGCCAGTGTTAACCGAATCACGAGCCGGCGAGCTGGGCAGCCGCGTGCGTCACAGGCGTGCACGCGCACGCTCGCGTGCAGGGGGCAAACTTTGATCGGAATTGTAAATGGGAAGAAAAAGAATATTCTGTGGATAATCGCGCGAATGCAACATTTCCTGTTAACGTTCGATCGTACGATTAGCCGGTGATTTGTACGTTGATACGAATTCGTATTTTAATCCGCGTCTGTGCCGTTCGCTTTCCGCGAGTCGGCTGTTATCTCGAACAGTAAGATATCGATGCTCGCGTACGTTATTTCAGGTGTATCGTAGCAGTTTCTGCATTCCATTCTATCCTGGCAGACTCTATAGGGAATGAAATCAAATTACAGCATTTATTATTACCGCGCTGAAGATTTCCTAGCATTTATGGGAATAGGAGGAAATAAAATATTAAAAGAGCAGTGCATTTTCTGATAGTGTGTAGGAAATACCGCGTTCCACAATGAACTCCGACGCGAAAACGGAGAGTCGATTAACAACTAAAGGTTCCCAGAAAATAAATATTTTTTTTCTCTACAAGTTTTTCCCCCTTAGATTCTGGCATTTACGGTGATATTTCTTGTATCGCCTTTCAGCCGAAATCCCCCTTCTGTTTTTCCTTTAAGTCAATTGCATCGCTCGCCGTCTAGAATTATTATCATTACCCGGCCGACGTGGATTCGACGTCCGTCGAAGAACACGTCGGAAAAAAAGCGGCTTCGATTACGTACGCGATTTACTAGCGCCGAAACGATCCTCGCGTGCGATGGGTCTTCGCGTTTCGAGTCCGAAGGGGAGGGCGAGAGGCCGAGATAAATGAAATAGAAAAGAAAAACGGTCTCGCGTCTCGTCCTGCGAAATAAAACGATATCGATCGGTCTACGCGCCGAACAACCTGAACGGCGAGAGGAACACTGACAGAAAGAAAAGAAAAAAGAGGCGTTATCGAAGTTACGCTCTTAGTTAGTTATATTAGTACGAAGTATCTCGCCTATAATCTGCGATCGTTTAACTAAAAATATCCTTTCGTTCTCCGAATTTGGTGCGGCGATATTGCTAAGCGGAAAGGTGTATCGAGAGG